CTTGATCTGATTTTTTCCCCAAATCTGATCCCAAACAGCTTGCTTTTAAAACCTAGGTCCTTCTTTCCCTTGAGATAGGATTCTACTCTGTATTCTATGGCTGAGGTGTTGAGGGAAGAAAGAAAAGCCTCGTGATGAAAATCTGACATTTCATTGAGAAGTGGTGTCGCCCATCTCACCCACACGAATCTCTGACTCCTTTGCCTATCAAATAGAAAAACAGCTACATTTGAGTTCCCTTCCTCCCCACCATTTTAGGAAAATACACACCTTAATTAAACTGTTCTGCTAAGGCAATGGCAACATCTACGTCTTCTCTAAGAGGGTTGTTCTACCAATAAATGAGCCTTGCAAAAATATCTCCCTAGTTTTGCTGGGGAAGACAGTCAGCCATGTAACCACCTTGCCCAGCCTTTTCTAATCAACTCAAAGTCAAACTCAAGTGTTATAATCCTACAATGTTTTTGATGGTTCTCCCTTGGTCTGCCCACAGGATTCTCCTGAAGTTTGGGGCTTAAATGTTCTAAGAGCAATGCAAAGTATCTTAATGCCCAGGAATAATGCAGGGGCAATGACCCAGATATAGAAGGGTTCATGCAATATAGCCAAGTGCAAAATGACATGTGGATACCATGTTTCCACCTTTATCCCCCATTAGGGTGTTTCTTAAAGAATATTCTTTTTATTCTCCCAAGACAGGTTAAATAAAAAAACATGGAGGTACTTATTATGATTGCATTCATCTAGCTCACAAAATGTCATTTATTTTAATATCTGCAACTAGTTATGGATAAAGACCATCCTTCAATCACTTTCTAAGTCTGTAGTAGTTCTGAGCACTGATTTGTATCATACAACATCAGTAATATAACATATACATATAGGTAGCTCACCATATTGTGTTCACGATGATTACAAACACAGACCTTAAAAATCTTCCATATACTAGGTCTGATCTGACTGTTTTAACACCTGTGAGGTGAATACAACAGGATTGCTATAGAATATGCAAAAACAAAACTGCAATTTTATATGACAATTATGTAAGCATTATTTACAGAAAGAAAAAAAAATGTAAAACCTTCTGCTAAGGGCATGCAAATAATTAAAGCACTCCATTCATAAATCTACACCTAAGGGAAAGTCATTCCACTAGTTAATTTCACGAGTTACCAAGATGATATTTGTTACTATTTTGTGTTTCATTAACTTTGATAAGTAAAATATGAATATTCTTTCTGGTCTCTAAGTTGGGAAAGTAAAAGTAAATAACACTCATATTTTTTGGTATTAAGGAAGTCATGAAGTGGGAACAGCAATGCCCTAAGAGAGCTTCCAAAGCAGGAACCAAATTAGTGCTGAGTCACATATACCACATTCAGGAAAGACCCCACATAATGACCTAAAGTTCTTGGATTTTTTTCTTAGGTGGTTGCAAAAATCACAATTTCTAAACTTGAACCCTTGCCTTTCTGCTCCTCATCTGATTAATAAAAGTCAACAAAGGATAAGGTGAACTAAATTGCCTTGACTCAGTCCCAAAGCGTACACTTCACAGTCTAGCTGTTGCAAGGCTGGGGTCATTTGAACCCTCGACTCTCCTGCAGAAGATACCTCCATCTTGACATTCATGCCTGAAACAGCTGCAGGTTTACTGGGCCTACAGTACAGGTCACAGTCATTCCAGAAGCTTCCATGTGAATGATGAGACCGGTAGCCTCAGAGCTGCCCAGGGCACAGCCCGGCCAATGAACTTGCCTACATACACCGGTATTAGGCCATTAAATTGGAAAATGACTTTGCAACAGTTGATTTTATATTGGTAGAATCACCATTAAGTTAAATGTTCTCCATCTCGGGAGAAAAGAAGTCAAATTTTAAAGGATACTCCAATACACAGCTAATAAGATATACAGAGCAAAAACATGTATTGCAGTAAACAACATGGGTGAAGCAAAAATTAAGGAGTCTACCTTCATCCCTCATCCGGAACTCTCTACACCAATGGGTCCTTAGACAACTGTCCCATGAAACATCACTGGGGACACAGGCAGGGAGGCATGGCACTTGGTGCAAAGAAATCACAGACATTTTCTGAACCCCACCCCAGTATTCAGAACTGACTTCTACCTTATCTTCCAAGTTCCACATTTCCCATTCCTTGTTGACTACACAGGTTTTTATCAGGTATTTGCAAGTGAAGGAAGGGAAGGAAGGAAAGGGAAGGAAGGAAGGAAGGGAAGGAGAAAGAATTCATCCCTGTCCTCAAGAATCCACCAGATTCCACCGTGAATCCACTTGAAGGAAAATATGGAAACCATCTTATGCTTGCAGACCACTGAGGTATTGCAGAATGTGATACAGATAAGGGTCTATGGGCTCAAGAGGCCCCTGCAAGGAGGGAAGAAAACTAAGCCTAGAGAAGGCTCTTCTTGTTACTACCGTTTCCCAACCCCTTCCTACCCACAATTCTAATATTTCATTTAGAGGAGTATACACACCTCCTTAACTACTGGTAAATAAAATCAAATGATAAAAAAATTCTAATTTCAACAATTTCAAGATTATCTAGTACAACCGTACTTGGAGACCTGACTTTCTTGAAAGCATCCCTACCAAGGCACCTATACTTCCCCCTAGAGACAAAGATTTTGAACATACTCCAAATTCCAAATGTGAACAGCCCTATTTGGTTTTCTTCAATGAAGGTGATTTTTTTCCCCCTTTCTCTCTCCTGCATCTGAATCCACACAGAATGTATCTAATCCTTTTCTCACATGAGGTCTTTAAATACAGAGAAAGGACATTAACATCCTTTCTAAATCCCGGGTTTTCCAAACTAAACGTCACCAAACCCTTCATCCACTTCTCATGTGATATGATTTCTAGTTCCCACACCAGTATGATTATTGTATTCTAAATGATATCCAGTTGTCCATGTTTCTTTTAAAGTATGCTAAGTTGAGTGAGACCAATCCCAGGAGCAGAAGAGCTCAGTAGCCTCATTCTAGATCCCCCACTCTCTCAATGATGCCAACTATTGAACTGATGTTTGAAACAACCATTATATACTTACTCTATTTACATTAAGCTTCCGTTCAATTCAAACTCCTAAATTTTGTGTTTTAAAGTAGTTTTAAGGGGTGCCTGGGTGGCTCCGTGGGTTAAGCCTCTGCCTGTGGCTCAGGTCATGATCTCAGGGTCTTGGATCAAGCCCCACATCAGGCTCTCTGCTCAGCAGGGAGCCTGATTCCCCCTCTGTCTCTGCCTACTTGTGATTTCTGTCTGTCAAATAAATAAATAAAATCTTTAAAAAAAATAATAAAGCAGTTTTAAATTCTTGCAGCTCCTAAGTCACCCTTCCTTGAGGACTCTGGACACAAATTTCAGAGTGAATTGAGAAGATAATAATCGGACACTACTGTTTGGACCATTTCTTTCACAGGCTAAGTCTTCTGCACTTACTGCTTCAGACTATGAAAAGGAGTCATCCCGAAGCACATCAGAATTTCACTATATGTAAAAATAGGTTTATATTTGTATTAGTATATTTATATTTATTATTTATATATATTTATATATACAGCACTGCTCATACAAAACTTATAAAAGAGATTCTGAACAAAGGATGTACAGGAAAAGAGGAAATAAAAATTTGAAGATCTAAGGAGAAATATCCTTTCTGTATCCCTGAAGCTAATCTACTGCCAAGGTAACTCAAAATGTTGCATACACGATAGAATAGCAAATCCCAAGGTATACTTCAACAAACATCAGTCATATAGCAACTTAAGGGATATTAATGGAGAAACGGCAAACATCAGAATAAACAAAAATGAACCAAGTAAGGCTGTCCAGGGCCTTAAATTTGCAAGTAATAACTGTGACATCTCAGACCTAATGAATTATCAAAATTGTCTCCAAAGACTGTTAAAAATCATCAATTTCTGGACCTCACCCTGAAAATTCTGATTTAGTAAGAATGCGTCCTTCAAACAGGGGTCTCAGAGGATTTTTGAAGTTGCCAACCCATGAACCAGCTCAGAGAATCCCTGGGGTTTGAACACGGGGGATCTGATGTTAACAGTTTTTCTGGATACCTATCATCAGAAATAATAAGCTAGGTCCAAGGAAAAGCATAGCCAAGTTTTCCAAATAAGCTGCCGAACTATCCCAAACATGTCTGTTTCTCTAATTCCGTATCAAAAATGTATCTCACATAGTTTCAAAAAAAAGAAAAGAAAAAGCAAGCTCTGGCCATGTCAACACATTTGTCCTGGAAGCAGAAACAATGTAGGACAATTATCCCTAGATATGTCCAAGTCGCCGCAAAGTCTTAAAGAAAAAAATGGTTTTTGAGTAAGCGAGAGGCAGGGTTTGGGATGAATCTTATCTCGGACTCAATGACTCTGCAGTTCCATCCTAGTGACCCTCACATTGCCTTGTCATGGAATTCACTGGCAAAAATCAATTATGATTATTCGTCTCCTTTTACTTAAAATATACTTTCAAATTTCATTCTGAGAAAGCTTGTAATTTGGGGAGGCAAACGTTAAGATTGAAAGCGTTTATGAATACAAACTCGAGCAAAAACAACTGAAATTTGGCAGCACATAAAAATGTCACATTACTGTCACAACAAAAGTTGGCTCTTCCAAAAACAATATATAGCTCCAAAGACACACACATATATCCACTTACAAGTGCAGCACACACACAGTCATTCTGGGAACAGCCAGCTACTATACATTGTGCATCAACGGAATAGTGCAATTTATCTCAATTATTACAGCACAAATAATACTTGCCCTCCCTTTCTCATTAATATTCTCTCAAGGGATGGCTTTCTAAAAAGAAAAAAAATAAATTGGTAAGAATTTCATAATTCTAAGAATCAACAACGGCCATCCACATAGCCAATATCTAAAAATATTTTTTAAATAAAGACTAAACACGTGCATTTTGCTTAGTAAAACACAAGTAAGTTTCTTTCTAATTACCTGCAAAATGTGACTTCCCAAATGTGCTTCAAATACTTCAATGGCCAGTGCACTGGGGCTTCTCCTTCGTTGTGCACCTATAACTTATTAAAAAACAAAGAAGAAGAAAAAGAGAGAAAAGAAAAGAAAGAAGAAAACAAATTAAGTTGGAGCTCTGATTCACACCTTTAGACCATTTTCCCGCTGACTACATATCACTAGGTGGTTTACTACACCAAAGAGCTCTGAAAGAAACACAGTACAGGGTTCATTTTGATTCTGAGTTGTCTGAGCAAATTTTCAACTCAGAATATTAATTTCTGCAAACATGAAAAACTACATTTAGACTTTTTCCCTTTTCCATGTGCATTTTGGACTGCGTTTCCTACACTGGAGCAAAACCACGAATGTTTCTATTCCTTTAAAATAAATTAGCAAACTGTTCTTTTTAAAATGTAAGAATTGTTATTTTTAAAGCATACATACACTGCCTGCCCATGTACTGCCCCCTGTCCCAACCCAAACCCCCCAGGACCTAAACTTTTCACACCTTCTAGGCTAGGAAAAAGCAAACAGGATAATTTTTTTATGTTCTAATGCAATAACTTTATCACAATCTAATAAGCACAACATGTCGGATAAGAGATTCTCATTAATGACTGTTTGCACTAGTGTTAAGTGTCTCAGGATGGCTGGATTTCATATTTACTGAACACTCATGTGTAACTATTCCTACAGGACCTACAAGAAGCCCAGGTAGACTCCTGCCTAGCACGTGCCTCACCAGGGAAGGGACTGTTTTCTTATCCAAAACCTTGGGGTCTCCTGCTGACTTACAGTCTGCCAGTCCCTTCCTGGCAGACCCTACAGGTGTTGTCTGCCAGCCCCTCACTCGAGAAGCCTCTACTATCCTTAACAAAGGTGAGCCTAAGGCTGGGTATTTGTGGGATCCAGGATTGAGGGTCTTTCCTTTACTAATTTTCTTTTGCATGAGGTCACCTTTTGCCTTCAACTCTGTTCTGGTTATTCTTCCTTTTTATTTTATTTTATTTTTTTAAAAGTTCTCACACATAAAAATCTGCTTCATGGTAACTTCTGGAAGGAAATGTTTAGATCTTTTCCTTATTTCCAATAAATAAATTCCTCAAGTTGTCCTGTTTTTCTTGCAAATTTTATTATGAATCTCGACCTTCCTCAAACCTACACACTCTGAACTGAAATGAGACCGAAACCCCACTTCCTTATTTCTAAAAAACAGTTTCAGCTAGTTGACAAGAAAATTCCAGCAAAATGCTGCTGGGGTAATTCTGCTTCATTTCAGTTACTCAGTCGGTTGGCTCCATAGCTTAGTGGGGATTATAATATAAATGTACTTATGATTATTGTGCTGTGCAGAAGCAAGCAGTTTACCCCTGCCATTGTGAGTCAGTGTCTGTAATGTCTGAAAGGCACTTTGAAAATAGCATGAGTGTTAAGTATCATTATGACTGGCAAGAGGAAATAAAAGGGGCATTTTTTTTTCAATGGGAAAATTTATAAAATATAATTGAAGAGTGATTATTATCAAAGAATATTCCAGCTGGAAGGGATCTTAGAAACCTCTATTCTAACTTCCTCATTTGCTTCAGAAGCAAAACACACAATAATTTTAAAATAGAAAAATCAGTTTTCTATCCTAACATTAATCTTTGCTATAAGTATAGACTTGAGATTTTTAAAAATTTAATATTCAGATATATTTAAGACACTACTGCTGTATGTGTATGTGCACATTTCTGATTAATTTCCTATTCTAACATGCACATTACTCCCTTCAAAACTCCTTTGGCATTTTTGATAATGCAGCTGTCTTGCTGAATACTGTTTTCAGTTTCTAGAGTGTTAATTGCACATTATGGTAGCTTGGTGTGAATGATCCCACATGAATAAAATCTGCAGTCTTTTTTTTTTTTTTTTTTTTTTTAAGATTGTTGTGGGGAGCTTCTGGGAGGGAGGGGAGGCAGTTGAAAAACTTCAAAAGTGTCCAGTCTCTTTTTGAGGCAATAATTAGGATCCAGAAAGCTCCTTATTAATAATAGTTTATCATTTGTGGGCATTTCAGGACTTTCAGTTTTGAAGTTCAAAACTGAACAGAGGAAATGTCCCAGTTTTGGAGAACGTAGACCATTCTACAAAAAGCTGGATGAAGAAGAGGCCAGGAGAGCAACAGCCACCAATCTAGAGAGGACCTTAAAACATCACGGCAAGTATAAGGAGCGTTTTATTTACTAGGAGGCCCAAGAGGCATGCTCCAGTAACAACAGATGGCAGCCCAACTGCCTTCTGGAAGCACAGAACATTGACTTCAGTGGGGTGCTTACAGGGGTTATTCAAGTCTGGCCACTGATGATGGCCTTTCTTTTCCTGCCTTTTCTTCACTTAGGGCTCAGGCTATTCTTTAAGTAAATTCTGCAAATACATAAATAATTAGGAATTTTATTTTTTCAAAAAAAATTTATTCATCAGCCTGGGGATCCCACACATCTTCACCGGTGTTACACCCACAAGCCCTACCTGCCTAGTTACCCTTCTTTGTTCCTCAGGTCCTCCAGAACCCGGAGTGTGCCTCCCCGTACATGCTAGCATCAGACACAAGTGTCTTGTAAGTGGTTTCATGCTATTCTATTCAATGGCATTTTTATGGCACTGGAACTTCTCTTGATTTATATGTTTTGCACTTATGCAGGTGATGTGGGGCTGTAATGACAGTTCCTAATTTTACAGCCAACATAAATATGTTAAACAGGAGCCCATTATGCCCGTGGTAGAAGCCCTGTTCTGACTCCGGCATTTCTGGTAACGAAGCGATATTAAATATGCACTTCTTGTTTTGTACTTTTCATCCTATTGCATTTGGGGACCTGAGACAATCATCCAGTTACTCAGGAAAGATGCAGGTATGTTAATCTCATGTTGCTAATGGAATATCATTAATGCCTAAGAAGACCCAAAGAGGTCCATCATTTTCAGAGAAAGAATAGACTGCTTATGAGGTATTCTCTGTTTTTTGTGTTTTGGGCGTCAGCCATTTCTAGAACGATTCAGTAGTCCAGACAAGTGCACACTTACTGATGAAGGGGTCATGGTTTCATCTCATCTACTGACATCGTTTCACGTATTGGTTTGTTTGGTTAAAAGACACTACCTTTTGAAATTTAAAGGACATTATAATTAAGTCGACCAGATAAAACCAAAAGCAACATGTTGCTAAATAAATGGAATATATAATCTCTTATCTGTGAGGAGTATGTCCCTAACTCACTGACAGTGAGGTGTGAGAACTGTGGAAGGTGAACAGCTTATACAAACGGTTAAAAGAAAAAAAAACACAATAATTCAACTTCAAATGTGATTCAACATGGACTGAGTACCAACTTGAAATTGAAAATTGCTGACTATTATAGGTTGTTACTGAGTGTTACCTACAATTACTGTAGGTAACTTGTGCTGTAAGACCTAATAAGCAGTCCGAAAAAAAAAAAATTAAGCAATTCAAAACAAACCTAGGCCCATCACATGATTATGAACCAAACACTGCAACTCTCCTGTTTTGCCAGGGTTAAAAATAAAACACCTAGAATCTGAAGAGACTTTAAATGGAAGCAATATATAGGGTGAATGATTTTTAAAAAACCAACCCAAGAAATCCTGATTGTTTCAGAAATCTAGAAAGATAAGATGAATCATTAGAATGGTGAGTTTGACTTTTCCTTCATTAAAAAAATGGAAGACACATAAGGAAACCACAATCTGAAACATGTTATCTGAACAATTAGTCTTGTCCCTCAACAACGATGGCAAAAATATTCCAGTATTGACTCGCATACCTTGTGGGGTGCTCTTTGAGAATTAATTCAGTGCAGTAAAAGACAATCCCTCTTTTGGGAAATACACCACACACACCCCCAGTCATATTCCTAACCAGTGCTTGTCACCTTCGGGGATACACAATCGCCAGGAAGGCTGAGGATTAGCACTCAGTGGGAGTTTGACCTATTCAGCCAAAAGGTCAGCTTGCCACAGAAGAACCCATTACAAAACAGAAACAGGACAGCTCAGTGGACACACATAATGAAAGGGGGAAAAGTCACGGCCCTACTTGCCTTGTGTCCCGCATTGCCCTTTTCCTTCCTAACTCTCCCCACCCCCATTTCCAGAGAAGGTGGAGCGGCCCCAGCTCCTCACCAGCAAAGTTCGCAATGGGAAGGTAAAGGACAGGCAGGGGAGAGAAAGGGGTTTGTTATTTAAGAGAGCATTTGAAAGAGATAATAGAAGCCAAGAAGAGTAGGATATTGTGAGGCAGGGTTTCCAAAGGACTGTTTCATTAGGGAAGAGTTGTCATTGGCAAGTAGGGAAGGCCATTTTATAAATTTTTTTTTTAAGATTTTATTTATTTATTTGACAGACAGAGATCACAAGTAGGCAGAGAGGCAGGCAGAGAGAGAGGAAGGGAAGCAGGCTCCCTGCTGAGCAGAGAGCCCGATGCGGGACTCGATCCCAGGACCCTGAGATCATGACCTGAGCCGAAGGCAGCGGCTTAACCCACTGAGCCACCCAGGCGCCCAGGGAAGGCCATTTTAGAGACATTTTCTCACGGGACCCCCTCCATGGGGAGCAGTATGGCAGAATGGCTAAATGTAGCCTGAAAGTTCTGGGGGTAGTATTTCGGGGATGGAATCATCCACTTAGTGAAAAGGGAAGCTTCATGGCTGCCCCCTGAACTCATCCTTCAAGGGGCAAGGCTCTGTTCCCACACTGAGCTTGGGGGGTAGGAAGGAGGAGAGGGCATGCTTAATGGAATACCGGACATTGCTCCCTGGGCGTTAGCACTTGGGGCAAGCAAAGTCAGGGTCTGGGAAAGAATGGAGTAGAGAATGCTTAATGAGTCTTTCCATGGCTACGGAAGGAAAGAAAAGGGATTTGCCTTCAAGAATCTCAATTAGCCTTCCTCACTGTAGGGCAAGGAGAGCCAAAGAAGGGTTTTCCCAGGAACGATCCTTGGAAGTTTATAAGGAGAGTGTGTGTGCTTTGTGTTTCTCTATCAAAATAAAAATGTCTATGTTTT